CCTCTCTATGGAGCTGTGATCTCCCTCCGTTGCCCAGGGTGATCTCAAACTCCTGTGCTCAAGCAATTCTCCTGCTTTGGCCTCCCAAAGTTAAACTGTAACTTTGGGAGGTTGATCGCTGCAACCTCAACCTCCTGGACTCAAGGAATTCTCCCATCTCAGCCTCTTGATTAGCTGGGACCACAAGCATGTGCCAATATCCCCAGCTAATTTTTTTTATCTTTAGTAGATATGGGGTTTCACCCACATTGGCCAGACTGGTCTTGAACTCCCGGGCTCAGGCAATCCACTTGCCTCAGCTTCTCAAAATGCTGGGATTAAAAGCATGAGCCACTGCACCCAGCCAACTGTAACTTTTTAAAAACCACATGCTAATTGCTATTTAAGTGTCTCAAACCATTCTACTATCACAATCTACTTAAAATATTAAAACAAATTATTCACATTTTTATTTTTCTACTTGTAAAAATAAAAGCAAATTTAAAAGGAAGATAATTACCTTAAATGCCAAATACCAATCATTCTCCTTGGATGCCTTATTTCCAGCTCTATTTTTATAAACTTCAACTCTATACTGACGAACCAGAAGAAGATCTTTTACAAAAGATTCAAAATTCATTTTACTAAGCACAACACTCTGTAGATTCTTTGCTCCTTAAAAATAAAATAAAATATATGTTATAGATTTGAGGTATTAAGTATTCAGGTCCTGTATTAGTTGGATTTCACACTGCTGATACAGACATACCCAAGACTGGGAAGAAAAACAGGTTTACTGGACTTATAGTTCCACATGGCTGGGGAGGACTCACAATCACAGCAGAAGGCAAAGAGGAACAAGTCACATCTTACGTGAATGGCAGCAGGCAAAGAGAAACAACTTTGTAGGCCAGGCGCTGTGGCTCACGCCTGTAATCCCAACACTTTGGGAGGCCAAGGCAGGCAGATCACATGAGGTCAGGAGTTTGAGACCAGCCTGACCAACATGGAGAAACCCTGTCTCCAAAAAATAGAAATAAAAAAAATTTTTTTAAAAGAGAAACAGCTTGTGCAGGAAGACTTCCATGTTTAAAACATCAGATCTTGTGAGACTTGCTCACTATCAGTACAACAGCACGGGAAAGACCCATCCCCATGATTCAATTTATCTCCCACTGGGTCCCTCCCACAACACATGGGAATTTAAGATGAGATTTGGGTGGAGTCATAGCCAAACCATCTCATTTCACCCCAGCCCCTCCCAAATCTAATGTCCTCACATTTCAAAACCAATCATGTCTTCCCAACAGTTCCCCAAAGTCTTAACTCATTTCAGCATTAACTCAAAATTCCACAGTCCAAAGTCTCATCCAAGACAAAACAAGTCCCTTCCACCTATGGGCCTGTCAAATCAAAAGCAAGTTAGTTACTTCCCAGATACAATGGGGTACAGGCATTGGGTAAATCTAGCCATTTCAAATGGGAAAAACAGGCCAAAACAAAGGGGCTACAGGCCCCATGCAAGTCCAAAATCCAGCATGGCAGTCAAATATTAAAGCTCCAAATTACCTGCTATGACTCTGTCTCACATCCAGGTCACGCTGATTCAAGAGGTAGGCTACCACTGCCTTGGACGGCTCTGCCCCTGTGGCTTTGCAGAGTACAGCACCCCTCCTAGCTGCTTTCATGAGATGGCGTTAAGTGTCTGCAGCTTTTCCAGGCACATGGTGCAAGCTGTTGGTAGATCTACCATTCTGGGGTCTGGAGAATAGCCCTCTTTTCATAGCTCCACTAGGCAGTGCCCCAGTAGGAACTCTGTGTGGGGGATCTGACCTCACATTTCCCTTCTACATTGCCCTAGCAGAGATACTCAATGAGTTCCCCACCCCTGCAGCAAACTTTGGCCTGGACATGCAGGCATTTCAACACACCCTTTGAAACCTAGACAGAGGTTCCCAAACCTTAATTACTGACTTCCGTGCTGCTAAAGGGTGCTGTAACTTGGGTTTTGTTAAAGGCATTCAGTTTTAAAAAGGAAACAGAGAATAAAAGTTCGGAAAATTTGCAGCCAGACAATGTGATAGAAAAGAAAATTCCACCGGGTGCGGTGGCTCACACCTGTAATCCTAGCACTTTGGGAAGCCGAGGTGGGTAGATTACTTGGTCAGGAGTTCGAGACCAGCCTGACCAACATGGTGAAACCCTGTCTTTACTGAAAATACAAAAATTAGCTCGGTGTAGTGGTGGGTGACTATAATCCCAGCTACTGATGCTGAGGTAGGAGAGTTATTTGAACCCGGGAGGTGGAGGTTGCAGTTAGTCTAGACCGCGCCACTGCATTCCACCCTGGGCAACAAGAGCGAAACTCCATTTCAAACAACAACAAACATTTTAAAACATGCAAAAAAAAAAAAAAAAAATTTCTCCATTTTCTAAGGAGAAATACAAGTTAGCTGCAGAAATTTGTATAAATAATGAGGAATCCTATGTTAATTCCCAAGACAATGGGAAAAATGTCTCCAGGGCATGTCAGAAGTCTGTATGGCTTCCCCTTTCATCACAGGCCCAGAGGCCTAGGAGGAAAAAGCAGTTTCATGGGCCAGCCCAGGATCCCCATGCTGTGTGCAGCCTAGGGACTTGGTGTCCTGCATCCCAGCAGGCTCAACACCACCTGGAAGCTGCCAAGGCTTGCTGCTTGCACCTTCTGAAGCCATGGCCCGAGTTCTATGTTGGCCCCTTTCAGCCATGACTGGAGCCACTGGGACTTATGTTTTCTGTATACAATGTTGTTCATGATCATTGCTATAGTATATTCTTTGAATAAACTGCAATTTACTTATGCATTCTACTGCTGGTTGGCATTTGGATAGTTTCCAACTTAGGCCTATGTATAATCTTGTATATGTCTTTTGGGGAACATCTATGTACACATTTCTTTTTTTTTTTTTTTTTTTTTTTGAGACGGAGTTTCGCTCTTGTTACCCAGGCTGGAGTGCAATGGCGCGATCTCGGCTCACCGCAACCTCCGCCTCCTGGGTTCAGGCAATTCTCCTGCCTCAGCCTCCTGAGTAGCTGGGATTACAGGCACGCGCCACCATGCCCAGCTAATTTGTTGTAGCTTTAGTAGAGACGGGGTTTCGCCGTGTTGACCAGGATGGTCTCGATCTCTTGACCTCGTGATCCACCCGCCTCGGCCTCCCGAAGTGCTGGGATTACAGGCGTGAGCCACCGCGCCCGGCCCTATGTACACATTTCTGCTGCGCGTATAGTCCAAAGTATTCCACTGCTAAAGAGAACTGCTGGGTCAGCTGGGTGTGGTGATGCATGCCTATAGTCCCAGCTACTCAGGAGACTCAGGGCAGGAGGATGGCTTGAGCCCAGGGGTTCAAGGCTGCAGTGAGCTATGATATCATGCCACTGTAGTACAGCTTTGCTGATAAAGCGAGAACCAATGTTTTAAAAAGAAGAGGGAAATGCACTTGAGTATTCTTTTCAAAAGTTAAACAGAGAAATGAAACTTTAAAAAACCACTGGGTCATGGGATATGTGTATGTTCAATTTTTCTTTTCTTTTTTTTTTTTTTGAGACAAGGTCTCCCGTTTAGTATGTATCATATCCCTAGAAAAAGAATCCCAGGATTGGCCCAGGTGTGGTGGCTCATGCCTGTAACTCCAGCACTTTGGGAGGCGGGCAGAACACCAGAGATCAGGAGTTCAAGACCAACCTGGCCAACACGGTGAAACCCAGTCTCTGCTAAAAGTACAAAAACTAGCTGGGTATGGTGGTGGGTGCCTATAATACCAGCTACTCAGGAGGCTGAGGCAGGAGAATCACTTGAACCTGGGAAGCAGAGGTGCAGTTAGCAGAGATCGTGCCATTGCACTCCAGGCTGGGCAACAAGAGCAAAACTCCATCTCAAGAAAAAAAATAATCCCAGGATTTTCCCATTCTATGTGTTTTCATCTTTGCTTCTTCCTGGTCTATGATGCCAGCTGAGGTTGTCAGTACTGTGAAACCAAACTGGGTGCAGTGGCTTACACCTATAATCTCATCACTTTGGGAGGCTGAGGCAGGAGGGTCTTTGAGCCCAGGAGTTTAAGATCAGCCTGGGCAACATGGCAAGACTTCATTTCTGCCACAAAAAAAAAAAAAATTATGAAAATAAAGACATTATTTTTAGGCCGGGCGCGGTGGCTCAAGCCTGTAATCCCAGCACTTTGGGAGGCCGAGGCGGGTGGATCACGAAGTCAAGAGATCGAGACCATCCTGG